ATTAATAAATTTATTGTTGATTGAGAACTTAATAAGTTTATTATTTATTGTGGGTTGAAAACCCTATATGCTCACCAGGCTTCCAAACCTGACCCACTCAGTTTATTTGTATCACAGGTATCGATACGAAGTTGCTTTACATTGAGAGATTAAAAGAGAAGTAGATCGCTAGTGTAAATGAATGTAAGTTTTGTTTATGCTTATGTTTTTGTATTGACAATGACATCCCAATGGTTTAAGTGAATAAAATACATTTCTTCGGAAATGATTTGATAACATATTTATTATGTTTTTCTGGGAACAAATTCCGCAACACTTTTAATCAAATGGTTACTCTGAAATTATTTCAAAAGCATAAATTAAACCGTTCTTTTCTGGCCGTGAATTTGGGGATGTCACAAAAGTCTTGACCCTAACCTTACCCGTTTAATTATCGTGTCGTGTCATGTCAACCCGTTTACATAAACGTGTCGAAATCTCTTACCCAAACCCATTAATTTCGTGTCGGGTTCGTGTCTGGTTGTCGTGTCGTGCCAAATTTTGTCAGGTCTACCTAAAACGTCCCTTAAGAGAAATCCTAGCCTTCGTTGAGTGTTGTGAGCTTATCCTCTCTCCTTGAACCATTTTTGTTGCTTATTTGAAGAGTTTTGGTGAAGGAATCAATAAAGGTGATTCTTGGGAGTTTGAAGCTTGAAGATCCTTGCATTCTCCCTACTTCTGGACCTTTGTAAGTTGCAAAGATCTTTGCTTTATTACATTTCATCTTTGGTTCTAAGAGATTTTGGTGTTTTAGTCCACTTTTATGGTGTTTTGGTCCCTTCATGGCTTGATCTATGGAGTTTGGAAAACTCCATGGTGTTTGGATCATTTTACTTTTTAGACTTAACCTTTTGGGTGGATCTTTGAGTGCTTACATGTTTTCTTTTATTTCATGTATAAGAAAAATGAAATCTTAGATATTTTAGAGATTAGGGTTTTAGATCTAGTTTGCTTGGGAGGTCTTAATGGATAATGTTGGATACTTTATCCATTCAGACATCAAGGAGATCCAGATTTGAATGTTAGAGACATGGACCTAATTGTTTAAGTCAAAATATATATAGGTTGGACAGGGTAGGACGCGAGACGCTTTTGGGCTTTTTTGGACACGTCTGATTTTTTAACCGAATCCCGGTTATTTTTGTCATGTAGTGGGCGCGGGGTGCCCAGTAGAAGGCGTGGCGCGCCCGTTGACCAGTAGGTTGACTTTTTGACTTTTGGCTAAGTTTGACCTTGGGTCAAACTTTGGGGTTAGGGTTTTAGAATGAGGTTTGACCTATATTTTATGCATAGGTGGTTCGTGAGACAAACCTTGATTATTCATGCGGAACTGAGATTTTCAGATTCTGTAAGGTGAGTCTTCGCACTACACTATGTAGTATGTTAAGTGTTATTGTATGCTAGACTGTCTTTGTGACTTTTATATGAAAGATTATGGGGAACCATAGCAATGGTATGATAGACTATGGGGGCCATAATAGTTGTATGAAAGACTATGGTGGGACCATAACAAAAAATGGTGCAATGGGACTACATCAATGGAAGTGATTATAAGACTATGAGGGGGCATAGCGTTCACATAGGTTGAAGTATACCCCTACGGTGGGGCCCATTGGTATGTGATGTATATGGTATTTTGGAGAACTCACTAAGTTTTGTGCTTAGAGTTAGGGATTAAATGTTTTCAGGTACTTTTTGGATCGTGAGAATGCATATGTGTCCAACGTACAAATATACAACCCATCACTTGACCATCAATCACTTTACATTCTGACGTTTATTATTGGTTCTTTGGTTCCTTTATTCATTGATTAATTATGACTTTTTATTGAACTTTTCTCATTATTTCCGTATAACGACTTATTAGGATTATACATTGAATATATTTGTATGAATCGGAAACCTTATCTTTTATTGATTTTTATTTTAATGACTGCATATAATTTTAGAAATACATTAGTTTATCAATAAAATAGGTATGTCTTAACTTAAGAGTTTGGATTTTTCAGTTACATTTTAGTTGTTTTCCTTTAAAGAAAAAAATAATATCAAAATGTTCGAATAAATATTGTTGCATTTAATTCTTATGAAATTTTGAGATTTTAAAGCACGTGGACAAAGTTAATTATGAGTGCAACAAACTATAAATGTTGGATGGGGTCTTTGGAATATTTTTCTTTATTATAGTTTTACAATCAGAATCAATCAATTATTTTCATTACAACTAGGTGGGGAACCCCGCGTTGCGGGGTCAGATGCGACAATTTTTTCTGTTGTTTGTTGTTTGTAAATGTTAGTTGACGAACTATTTTTTTGTAGTTTGGGTATTGTTTTGTTGTCGGTTTGCCAAATACCTCTTAAGTGGCATTATCAAATTAATGTCTTTTTTCTCCCTTTGCAAGTTGCAAATGCAAGTTAAGCTATTTATCGAAATATATACTTCATGAGTTTATTGTTTGGTTAATGGGATGAGACTGGGGTGGTGGCCACGTCTTCGGGTTTTTTTTTTGTACTTGGATTGTATTTGTTGAACTACTTTGAGTATAAAGCATGTAAATAAATACATAAACGAATAAATAGATGTTGTACCTCTTTTCGTTCTAACAGAATCTATTATTTATGTTATTAATGTTATTTGGGGTGTTTCCTCAATTTCATTAAAACAGCCTAATCTTACAACAAATTACTAATTAAATGAAAGGTAATTTACAACCCAATAAACAAAACCCTTTGAAAGCAGGAAACAGAAATAAAACTTAGCTGCAAAATTTCTTATCAGGACTCTGCCATTTCAGATTCCAAATTTTCCCAGAAAGTTGTTCCAGGTTCATGCATATCCAATTTCTAGCACCTGTTACAATTACAAATCTACAAAGGAAGTTATGTTTCTTTTTTTGTATTGAAATCAAGATACATTTATTAAGATAGGAAACTTACCTTTCGCTCTTCTTTGAGGTAAAAAAACCTTCAAGTTTGGCATAAACCTTTTAGTTATCTTCGTTGCTTCATCATCGTGTGGTGGGGCCGCAGACACAAAGGCAATAAACCACACCCGCTCATCATTTTGCACAATAAATTTGAAACATTAGGGATACTTTTGTCCAAAACTGTTAAAATAAAAAAAATTAACTATAAAAACAGTATGCAATGGTAGTTTCATCCAAAAATTGTTAAATTCAATTTTTTTAAGTATAAAAACATTATGCAAGGGCATTTTCGTCCAAAACTATTAAAATCAAATTTTTTTAACTATAAAAATAGTATGCAGGGGCAGTTTGGTCCAAAACTGTTAAAATCATTTTTTTTAAAGTTTAAAAACGGTATGTAGGGGCAGTTTGGTAAAAAAACAGTATGTATGATGAAGTTATAAACCTAGATTCTTCATAATCAATATATTTTGATGATATGAAATCATAAATTTACCTATTTGCATACATGATACATACACACAATTGCAATCAGTTGAAGAAAAATCTAAAAAATGATGTTAAAATAATATGTTAAATAATTGTTTCTTAGCATAACAAATCAAGAAAATGATACTTACAGTCAGAAATTAATTACTAACCAGAAGAAAGGCACGGATTTTACTGCTAAAGATGAAAAGCGAGCTTCCAATACCCTTCAAGACTATTGGTCCAACAACCAAGTGTTTGACAGATGTGTGATTTTTTTTGTCTAAGTCATTAAAGACATACAAAGACAAATTTATGCTTTTTGGTTAGTTTCTCCACAGAAGAGATTTAGAATCGTGTTTATAGCATTCATCATTTAATCTATTTCAATTCTAAACATAAAAAACTGCATATTCTTTTACTGCATACACTGTCCCATTTGAAACCTAGATTCTGCATACACTTGTCCCATGTCCTACGTGTCTCAACCTTAGTCATGGTTGCTTCATATGGATTCACCAAAGGTGCTACCATGAAAGCACCTATATTTTCAGTTCAAGATAATCAGATTAAAAAAAAGTATTTGATTTAAAGAATGGTGAAATACCTGCAATTCTATCAGGAATGTACTTGAGTGCAGCCCATGTATGTATGCTTCCACCTGAGTATCCAACTACCGAAAACTTACGATAAATTAAACATATACTTTGTCCAAATATTCTCCTATTTGAATGCTTCCATGAAGAAAAAAGTGAATGATAATACCAACCGCCCATTGTTGCCACTAACTCCAACTCAGATAACATAAGCCTCTTTGAACCCATTGTTGAACAATAACTCTGGCTACCTTCATGGAGTTACCATTAAAACTACCTTACAAAAAAACAAAGGAATCATATACTGATCAAACTTCTCAGCTATAGAAAAGATAAAAGACTCACAGCCAACACAATCATTTTCCAGTGAAATGAAACAGTATATACAAACACTTTATAAGGAGGATCAAACTTCTTATTCTCTAGATTAATTTCAAGTTGAAAGCATCAATAACAGATACGCCCTTGTAAGAGATGAAGAACCATGTTGCTATTCAACAACCCTGATGATGTTAATCCAAGAAATTAATGTCAATCCTCATCTTATTCAAACTGCAACATGAGATAAACTCATTAAAATAACCAAAAAAACTAAAGGAATTGAGATGAAACTAATTCACACCTGAATAAACACCAAAACCAAAAGATAATACAGCGAAGTCAGCATGATTTACCTGGTCGATCACTGCTGTAGAAGTATTTATGTCTTCAGTATAGAGTCCCCTAAATACGGATGAAAAAATGTCATCTCTCCCTGCCAAAAAAAAATCTTCCACAGTAACAAACTATTAAGGATTTTTCTGGCATTAGATGGTCAAAAACAAAATCAACAGGTACTGATTCATTTTCAGTAGGTATTGAAAAAAAAACGGAAAAATTAACAAAAAACTGTAAACGAACCTTGTGTTTGAAGTGGGTCTTTGGAACATGTTCCTGGGATAACATCTCACACCAAGCCGATTAATTAAGTCTAATTTGTTATCACTGCCAACGTAATAGAAAAAGAAATCGATGAAATTAGCAGATGAAGAACGAAATCAGAAACAGAGACAGTCACCTGTTTTTGCCCTAGAAATGGAAAGAAAGCAACAAACAACGATTTGAAATAGATACACTTCTGATGGTTCAGCTCCAAACCGGTATTTGCAACCTCAATCTCATTGGCCTTGTAGTCTTCTTGTAGAACAGATTGCATCATTGCAAAGCAGAAATTGCAGTCTACAGTCAAACATGGGATGCATCAAGCATATGTCAATGTTAAATACAATTACACAATAGTTTCAACTCAAAGAAAGTGTAGTAATTCACCTGTACAGTTTCATCATAAGTAAATTGAGGGTGTCATTTTTCCATTTCTTCTAAAGGAAATTAATAGCCTCTTGCTCTTTCAATCCAACACTTGTTGCCTACAAACAAAATTCAAAAACTACATCAGATAACAAATTTATATCTTTTTATAAATCCATTACAAAATTCTACACACCTAATGTCCAAAGAAGTGACCTGTTGGATCACATTTGAAGAGTTTAGACCCATTCTCATCATCAATACCCAACAACATAGCCACTGAAGTTCAAACAAATCAATAAAATCATGCACATTCACAAAAATAAGCAACTAATAACAACTTCACATCTAGAAACTAACCTACTCCAAGTGGTCTCATGTAAGCATGTTGAGTATAAACTTGTGATTTGTCAGCAATCCTGCAACATATAGATTTATCAACATAAAAAATGATATGACATAATCTGATAAACGGAACTCAAAAAAACTGTAGGATTAATACCATCTTGCTAATACATAAACAACCATCTCATAGCCATATTTACAACGAAACTCAGTTGCTTCATTTCTTGCCTGTGGAACCAATGTCTTTGCATCAGCTGAAAATATGTACAAAACATTATTTATTAGTTATTATTCTTGCCTTACACAAAAATATTTGATTTGAGGCTGCAAATCATTGAGAAAATAACCTGTAGTTCCAGTAGCTAACAATCCAAGGAACTTGGTGATAGAGAAAAGATTTGTAAGGTTGGTTGGATCCAAGAGCTTACAATAAAAGGGAATCAAATCTTCAAGTGGTGAAATGAAGTTTTTTGTACACAGTTCAGCATATGTTTTGGCTGGGACATACAATGAAAATAATAACTAACCTGTGCATTTTAACGAACACTTGGGGTGCAATTACAATGGTTGCTGGTTTTGTAGATGTTGAAAGTTGCTGATCTTTAACCCTCTGCATCACTCCCTAACAATCCCGTCCCCATGCCTATGGTTGTTATCATCTGATAAAAAAAATTGAAAAACTTGCTTCAAGTATTTTATCGAGCAATTGGTGTGCATCCTAAGAGCTACAATCAAATCTTATATACTCGATTTTGTATCATCAAAAAACTAATCAATCAAACTATAGAAAAAGAGAAAGAAAAGAAGAAGTCGAGAAGGATGGTGAAAATCGAAAATCGAAACCTTACCAAATGATCGACCGCACTGTATGAACGGTTTAGATGTACAAATTCATCAGGAAGGTGGTGAACGAACGAAACATATGGAAGCAAAGAACAAACATGAAGTCGGTGGTGTGGTAGAGTGGAAACATATGCGCTGTCGGAACAACTCGATCGAGCAAGAGCTATGTAGAAGGGGGAGGTGAGACATCGTGAAACGAAAACAGAAAAAAGTTGAAAAAAACGAACCTGTAACTGTAGGGTGCGAAGGTCGGTGGAAGGAAGAACCTGTAACTGTAGGGTGCGAAGGTCAACGGTCGAAGGTTTCACATGGGGGGCGACGGCACACGGTGGAGAGCGGATATCTTCATCCCAGATGCTTCAATAAAACCCCAAAATTGAACGATTTATTCATCTGTTTAACCTCAATTTGGTGGAGCACTGATTCTTGTTGGATGGTTGTGGCGATGAACATTATCCAAGAAAAGAGGAAAAAGAACGGAAGGTTTGTTATTCGAGGAAAGAGGGAAAAGAACAGATGGTTTGGATAAGGAACGGTGATAGGAAGAAACTGGAAGAATCGATTACCTACAGCGGTATGACGCCGTCTAGGGCAGTGGATGGAACCATCCAGAAAGCAAGAGAAAGAGAAAGAAAGAGATATTATTAGAGAAGGAAGATAAGGCGGTGGAGAAAATCGAGAAACATCTGAGAATGTTGATAAGTCCATAAAATGCCCACGAACTCGAAATTGCAACCAAACACATAAACATGGGCCATTTTTGCCAACATCTTAGGAACTCTACTGTTCCTTTTCTTCATAACTTTAATATATATATAATAATGATCAAGGAAATTGATAGTTATTTTTAAAAAAAATCAGCTTTAGAATTACTTGTCGTATATCTCTCTAATTTTTTTTTTTTTTTTTTTGGAAACTTTTGCCATAAACATAACAAATTTAAACCGGATTCTACGAAGCTTAGCACATCCTATATATTATACCCTGTCAATTGCTGTTATAAAGGGTTTTTTAATGTAACCAAAATATATAAATATTTATCAAATAAATGGGCAAAATTCATTATTAACCAAGTCTAATCAAGGTCAAGTCATCTTATGTGGTCTACTTTTTATAAAATTAAGCATTTAAAAAAAGACGATGGCTAAAGTATTAGTATACAAGCCATCTGTTAATAATAAGCTCTTGTATACGAAATTTGCTTTATAGCATTTTTTAACACATGAATTAGATGGCGTTTGCACTTACTTTTTTTTATTTAAAAACGTTAATTTTAAATGTGCGATGCATCAAATATGTATAAAGCTAATTATATATTTGTGTTCATTTAAAACCATAAAAGAAGTTTTAAATGCATTTCATGCCGAACACATTAATCCAATAAAAAGCATGATTTGTTTTACAAATTTGTATCGTAGATAACTTAACCTCAACGTCATTTAACGTCATTCCACATCTCATGTCTTTCTATTGTTAATTCGTTAGTATATGTTTTTCATTTAAAACATTTGTAACATAAGTTTATTAAATTTACAAACACATATAATGATTATGTAATTATATAGCCCAAAATACTATATTTGTATAAATTTAATGTCCTTAAATATTTGTAACGTAAGTTTATTAAATTTACAAACACATATAATGATTATGTAATTATATAGCCCAAAATAATTATTCACTTGTGGATCATTATGTTATAAAGTATTGAAAATCATATGTGAATCTTCTAACATATTACTATATAACTATATAACCATATTAGTTAAGTAGATATACACATATGAATCATGAATCCTTAGTTTGAGAAAATTGCAATGATAAACTGCCACTAACCTCAAAGTTTTCTATATTCATGCTTGTCTGATGTATCTACCACTACCAAAAAATATAGATTTTAGACAAGGCTAAATCTCTCGTTAATCCATTACAAATACAGATTAGCAATGAATTAGCAATGTAAATTTATAGTTAGTATATATTGGTGGCTAATAATTTTAGCAACTTAACATGTCCTTTCACGATGAAAATATTTGTGGTTAATCTAACATATTTTATCGCTCAAACAACTTTGAAACCAAGTTTAAACAACCAAAAAGCAACATATTTGTAAATGATTAGCAGCAGATCCTAAGTGATGGAATAACATTAGATGTATTGTGTGATGGATTGATGTTGATTATTTGGAGTCGTATTACTGATGGAATAGTGATGGACTTTAATTATAAAACGTTTTATAGTCTGTTGCTACTTTAATTATAAAAATCAACATATTTGTAAACGTTTTAATGTCGATTATTTCAATACTTTCATGCACCACAGAAAAATGTAATTATATCAATATCAATAATAAACATTGTTTATGTAATTATATCGGTATCAATAATAAACATTGTTGGTGCATTGAGTGATTTCAAAAAGTTTTGGCATTTAAAAAACTCAAACTAAAGAAAAAATTTCGTACGGGAATACGAACTTCAAGCTTTTATTTTTTATTTTTTAAAAAGCTCATAATCTAAAGTTACTTCAAATAGCTTTGGGAACTATTAATTTTTACCAACTATTAACTTTTCATTTTTATGTAATTTTACACTTTTAAAAGCTTTCATCTAGTTTTCCAAACACTTATATATAAATAAAAGTTACAACCAATGTTTTAAAACCCGGGTTTTTAGTTGACCCGGTGTGATGACCGGTTCACGGGTCAACCGGTTCAACCGGTTGAACTGCCGGGTCAACCCGGTTTATGGTCTTTTTCTATTTTTATATATATTTACTTTCCGACATAATGCATAAACATATATAACCAATAATTTGATGTCCACAAAGTTTAAACATTGAAAAACATTGAAGAAATCGTAAACGGCTCGTTGTTTTGTCGTTCGCTACTTGTATCCAACTATCCAAGCCCTATTAAAACGTGTCAATCCGGTTTTAACCGGTTCGACATAAGCAGTCGAACCGCGGTTTAGGGGAAACCCAGCCGGTTCGATCCGGTCCGTATTTTTACAAAAAACCGATCTCAATTGACCCGTCTTCTACCCTGGGTCACGGTTCAACCGGTTGAACCGGCCGGGTCGACCCGGGTTTTAAAACATTGGTTACAACTCTTGTCTCTCAGCTAATTTTGTTAAACACGTCCAATGTCTCTTTGTTTTAACTATGATCAAATCAAAACCTGAGATACATCTATTTCTAACAAAACCATGTATATTAATATTATATTTAATGGCTCGATCAAATTAGGAAAAGAAATCATCATCCAATCATACTTCAAAGAATAACTAAAAGATCCTCAAAGTATTGCATTTGATATGTAAAGTATTGCATTTTCCTGAAAAAAGTGTTGTATTTGGACAAAAAAGCTAATCACATCATCAATCTGGATAATTACATTTACTATATACTGGCGAAATATTTAAGAGGATATACCTCATAAAATCTATTTTCTAAGATATTACATTTTTTTTTATAAAAATGTTATTTACTGTGATTTTGTTTTTTATAAAAGTGTTTGTCTTAATAAAAGTAAAAGTTGAGAGGTGAAATATTTATTCTACAAATCAAAAGCTCTTTTAAAAGGTTTGTTATTTATGTTATGATGTTTTGAAAAAAAAATCATAAAAAGTCTTTTAAGGCATTTTATTTTATTTTATAAATATCTAAGTTTTTTTAACACTAATTTATGAAAAATAAATAAAAAAGGACAAATTAAATAAGGAAGTTTTAAATTGAACATTTTAGATAGATGAATATTAACTATTTTTTAGATTGAATTAGTTAAATTAAAAAAAAAACAAACCAAAAAAAACAAAAATAAAAACCAAAACAAAACAAAACAAAAAACAAATTTAGCTAACGTTTTAAAGTTTTTTCCAAAAAAATACCCAAAAAAATATAGAAATGATTCATATACTCATCAAAAATGCAAGTAAACCTTCATGGTCTGCGATTTCATAAAAAAAATTAAAATAAAATATAAGTTCGAATTTTGTCATTTTTGCATGATGAAATCGTCATTGGCATTTTCTTTGCTCGATCTACGATTTCCTTTCCTCAATCGCATTTGATATCTTCTCTTCAGCTCATATTGTATAAGTGCTTAATGTATAATGTTAAATAGTAGATGGTTATATAGTTATATAATTAATGATATTTTTTTCAAACATTAACTACTATAGGCTTCTAGGCTCAGTCCATAAAAAAATCACAGTCCATAACAGCCCATTATGGCCTAATCGCACTCCAATAAGTGACTTAGTAGAATCGAGACATTTCTAATCTTTTTGGCTATTTTTTTAAATCCTATCCTAATAAATAAGTACCTATATTGCCACGTGGCTTCTCCTTACGCCCCTTTCCACCTTATTTTTCCCGCTCATTCTATCAAAGTGATATTCCGAAATTATCCTTGTGACCTTTTATGCTCTTGAATTTCATATTTTAATAAATCACGAAAAATCAGTAATCCATCTTCTAAATCTTCAATCAGCCTCAAATCTCGATCATTTGGTTCGTTCTTATTTGGATTTCAAAATTCCTCATTCACTCCCTTCGGTTACAAAATCAATAGAATCACCTTGTAAAATCATCCTCGCATTTAAATCACAAGATTCTCAAATCTGGAGGTACAAGCTTCTTATAATTCCTCTAAACGCTAACTTTGTGTTTGTGTTTAACGATGTGTGTGTGTGTTTTCTGTATCATCCTCACATTCTAACTTATTGCAATCCTCCATGACACTTCACAATGGATTCATTGCTACATATATACTATTAAAGGGTTAAGTCTTGTTGGTGAGGGTGCTAAAGTGTTGTTCTACTTCAATTCACCCCCACTGCACGTTCTTTACATTCTCCATATCTATTGTCCTCATTAGGAAGAAGACGTCATTCATGTACACTTAAGGAAGAAATTGAGCAGTTGCATACTAGGTGTTTGGTGAAATGACTAAGTGAAGCTATCCTTCATGTTTTGCCTCTGTCTCCAAAATAATTAAATTATGGGTCAAACCTATCTCTATAGATTAGAAATCCAAATCTTGCCAAGGTAATTTTTACAATTTATGTATATTTTTATTTTTATTAAAGCGGTATGCGTTGACGATGGATTAATGAGTTAGTTTTTGTAAAAAAGAAAGTCATCAGTTGGGTAGGTTAAAGTATGATTTTGTAGATCAAATCAAAATGCAACAACTTAATTTTTACATGAGCGAGGTGGATTTCAACTTCTACTTACGTTTGGATTTCTCTGTTGTAGTTTGCGTGTTTATAAGTTTTACTTGGCCGAGGTAATTTTTGACTTGTATGTTTTATGTCTTTGTTTGTATTTTTAATAATTTAACTAAAACTAATTTTAATTTCGATATTGTATTTATAGTATTATGTTTTCATCCATAAGTTTTGAACTCGAGATCTACATTTAAAGCGACAAAAGAACAGCATGAAGATCAAAATTTTGGTTCTTTTGCTGAGAAAACGTCCATAGTGCATTTTCTGGAATATGTTATTGTTATATTATCATTTGTAGTTATTTAATGTAGTTTTTCTTTTCATTTATTCTTTTGAGGAATTTATTAACTTACATAAAATTTGAAGTGGGAATAAATATCATTTTGCAGCCTATAGTAAAATTAAGACACCTCTTCAATGGAGCCTATAGTAAAATTAAGACACATTTTGAATGGTTGAAACGGTGGTTCATTATTTGACACTAAATTAATTTTCATTGCTTTTGTTTTATGCTTGCTTATGTTTGACTCCAAGATGTGTTTTAATTAAGTAAAATTTAAAACTGAATTAAAACCATAGGAACTGATATGATGCAGATGCTCTGCATTGTTAGTTTGTAACATTTGGTAGAAATCTTAAAGATGAAATTTTCATTTTTGATATTATAAGTAGCTTTTTTTCCCTTTTTTTAGGGACCTATTATGGGAGTTAGTTTATTAAAATTTGGTCCTAAATATTACTTATTTCATTCCTCAATTAACTTGACATATATGTTCTTTATTTTAGATCTCTCCATATCCTTGTAATAAAAACTAGGATATGAGAGGTGGGACCTTTCTTGCTCTTGGAGCAATTGTGGGGTGCTGATAGAATTATATAATCTTGATGATGCAAATTTGAAGATGGTTGGGGATTCTATTTATAGTTTTAATATGTTTTTTTTTGTTAAAGCTCTCCATCAATGTGATTATGAAAATTTGAAACTGGAAGGCTACAAGGAAAAAGTTTTGCTATGAATTGATTTACTAGAGCAACTCAATAACAGGAACAAAAACAAGTTGATGGTAAAAATACATCGAAATATGTAGTTCCATTTTTTGTTTATTATTGGTCTAACGTTCTTTGACTTCATGTTCTAAATGTTTATTAGATTAGCCTTCTTTGAAAGAAAGAACAATTCATTATATTTTATTTTTTATTACATTATTGCACTTTTATTGTAATGTATGTTGATATTAAAAGTGTTAAAAAATTGTTTCTAAATAGTAGTTTGTCCAGATGCAAAAAAATAAAATAATAATATAGAAAGTATACATAAATCTACATGCTTATTTGAATAAACACTAAACGAAATTTTATTTATCGGACAACTCGTCCACGGGCAGGATATTATTTCAATTTACAAAATGTAAATTGGATATTAACAATAATGTATATATTTATTTTAAAACAAAATTATAAACTTATTTACAAAGCTTATACCTTTGTAAATTAATAATTTTTTTTGTAAATATTTAATAAGAAAATACGGTTTTGAATTTTTAATAATTTTTTTTTCTTTCTAAACCGTGGTTTTCACGGGTTTAAACCTAATAATTACTATATAATTAAGCTAAATTTGTCTTCTTCTTTTTTTCCTAAAAAATATTAAAAGAACCATTATAAATGATATTTAAATAGCGGTTAAAGTTAGTAAAAAAAATGATATAACCATAACTTTTAAGTCATACTACATGTCGACCATTTGAGATGCACTAAGATTTAACTAACTATTCTTTTAAAAAGAAGCGTGTAAATTAAGATTTAATTTATCTTTGAAGAGATCCATTAAACCTAAAAGAAGTCGAAAGAAACCAAAGCAAACCAACTAAAAAGAAAAAGAAATAAATTAAATATAAAATTATTACTGTAACTATACATACAATCAAGAACTTGTGTTGGAAAGCATACTTTATATTAAGCTTTAATGAATTATATCAACAAACAAAAGATATAATTTTTACTTTGTGCTGCACAAATTATGCACTGATAGATACCACAGTCAAAAGTCAAAGTCAAAAACTATAAAGGGTATTTTAGGAAATTTGTTGCCACTCTTGAATTGCATAGGAAAGAGCATGATTAGGTAGTAAGTCACAGTGTTCAAGTTGAAGGTTAGTCATGGGTGAAGTCTTGTGGCCACTGTTCAACCACCCTTTTATTGCATCTTCTTCATATGTAAAACCATCTGCTGCTATGTATGGATCTTTCATCACTTCCTGAAAATCACCAACAAAATCCTTTAATGAATGCATATAATACTTTCATTCATCTGTACATTGCTATTTCTTGAGTTTAGATACCTGAAAAATCGGGCAGACAAAATAAGAGGGGATTTTGCGATGACACTCAGGCTCAACAGGTGATATTGTAAATCGATCTTTCATTTTCTCAAATGTCTTCCAAATATCATTCACAAGATTCGGCCTCTTCAATGGATTCTTCTCACAGCATCTCAAACTCAAATCAGCTAACTCATTCGCATGCTCAATCGGCCAATCCCCAGCCGATAAATCCAAAATCTCAACAAAATTCCCAAATTCCATCGCACATTTCGTGTCATTCACAACACTCGAAGCTGGCCTCCCTGTTAGCATTCTCAACAACACAACTCCGAATGAGTATACATCAGAAGAAGGAGAAAGCGTTCCGGATTCAACAAATTCAGGGTCGATGTAAGCAGAAACCTCGGGATCATTAATTTTAGAGAAAACGAAACTGATTCCGAAGTCGCTTAGTTTGGATACGTGGTTTGAATCGAGAAGAACGTTGGTTGGGGTTACGTTTCCATGGATGATTTGAGGGTTACTGGAGTGGAGAAAAATTAGGGCAGAAGATATCTCTGAAGCGATTCGTATTCGTGTATGCCATGGAAGAGGTGGAGTTGTCGCTTTAGAATTAGAACTAATGATTCGATCTTCAAGGCTTCCATTTTCGAGGTACTCGTAAATCAACGACCTTGTTGCTGAACAAACGCCGATTAGGGTTACGATATTTGGATGTCTCGTTCTACTCAAAACCTCTACCTACACAAAACCACAGGGACCCAAACTGTAATTTAGTATTCTTGTAAAAAATATCAAAACCTATAGGGACCAAAAGTGTAATTTACCTCAAGTTCAAATTCTGCATCGCTTTGAGAACCAAGGGAAGGTAACATCTTAATCGCAACCCTTACATGGCGAAGAATACCTTTATAAACACTTCCATCTCTTCCTTCTCCGATCTTCAATGATTGATTGAAATCCTGAGTAGCTTCCATGATTTCCATGAACGAGGGTTTATAAAATTGTGCTTGTGACAAATTCGTTGTGGTGTCCTCTTTTATATATTTTGTAAGTTTTTTAATTTGTCTCCTTGCATTATCGACTTCATCTTGCAACTTGTCTCGACTTTCTTTGAAAGTGATTAACAGATTCACTGCTTGAATGATTCTCTCCTCCAACTCTTTTTCTGTATCACGTGCCTTTGAAATTTGGTCTTCAAGCTCTGGTTTTTGGTTTTTGACTTTCTGAAGCTCTTTTATGAATTCATCTCTTTGGTTCTTCATTGTTTCTATTTCTTCAATTTGTTTCGACAGTTTAGCCTCCATTGCTTTTCTTTCTGTGATTTCCTCCATACATGTGTTTTCTGATGTTTCTGCCTATAACATGGTTAAAAAGTTACACTTAACAAACTATTTAATTCATGTTTTCAAAATCGATATAAAGAAATTCAGTTTCACCTTATGCAAAATGTCCTTAGCATCTTCTTCTGCCCTCCATCTTCTTATTGACTCTTCAAATGCTTTCTGTTTTGAGTTTTCAGCATCTGTTTTGGCATACTCCAGTTTATCATGCAACTCAGAAGACGAAAGCCCTTGAGGTTTTTCCTGGAAAAAAAATCATTTAATATATATTTTTCCCAAAATGAACAAGCAAAATTTGTTGTATTATACCAGAAACATATCAGAAAGTGATTGAACCAATTGATCTTTTGTATCATCAATCATCAAATGAGTTGAAGTTGAAGAGCTACACCCATTTTTCATTGAATTCTCCAAACACCGAATGGATTTCACTTCCACATCAGCATCAATTGCATGACAAAGTGTCAGCATTGTCTCTTTGCCAGCTGGCAAAGAGGATAACGCCTTCATACTCCTTGTATAGATGAGGTGGCCTTTGCAAGCAAACCATATTTGACATATGGGTGGGGCATTTTGGCAAACATATATTGATTTATTAGACTTGAGCTCTGACATATCCCTGTAATCTTGAAGAATTTGGTTCATTAACAAAAAAACAAGATAAATTGATTACATTTATATGTGTGTTTCTTTCTGACTTAATGCATATAGAAACTCATACTTTGAATATAGCTTCTCAGCTGCAGCTCCCATAACAAGCCACTTAATCCCATGTTGCTCTATAGTCTGCACAATACCTGTTTCAACATTATCAGCTTCTATCCACACCTTACCTGCTTCCACCTACACAAATACCAAACTCCAAATTACTAAAATTTCTTCCATGAATGTTAAAAAGTTACAATATATCTTCAATTTTCATCCAATCTGCTAAAAATGAAGAAAATGTAGGAGGAGAAAGAGCAAAAACATTGAAACAATACCCCAGCTTCATCAAGAATGAGGCGATATTGATTTAGGATTTTGTGCATCTTTTGCTTTTCAAGCTCTCGCCAAGCCTTAACCACCTGTTGTTTTAGGCTACTTTCATAGAACTTTCCATCCACTGTAAAATTACGAACATTGGAATCAGTCCGGATTATGTAATCGTAACGTAAACATTGCTAGGGCTCCAATCGATTGGCAATAGGTAGGCTAATTCGCAAATTTCAAACCAAAATTAACTAACAAATTCATATCATAAAGCAGCAGCGACAGCAGTACGTGAAGTGATTAACTTACCGAGTGTGATTAACGGAGCAGGTTTATGAATATGAAGGAGACACATCTTCATTCCAGCAAAGCACTGTAACGCCCACAATATCAGCGATTTACTCTCCTTAACGTTCCTCCCCACCGCCACAATTACGGTGTTTTCGACGTCGTTAAACTCTTCGATTGTCTCCTCGATCAATTCCACCTCACTCCCCATCAATTTTTGAAATTAGTAACGCTTTCAGAAACCCCAACCAAAACACTATTGATACAGATTTACTTGGTTGAATCGAAGAGAATAGAAGTAAATATGGTACAAATTAGGGGAGTGGGGGACTACTGTGGGTTATCGCCTATCGGTAGTGACAAAGGTTTCTTAATAGAGAGTATAATTACGTGTGAACAGATCAAAAGGTGCAGACAAGAACACGAACAATTACTGAGAAATTACACAGCGCCATTGGCTTCACTTTCACTCCACAAATATTAAAATTCCTGTTGATTCTTTCGCATTTTTTGAGTTCAATCTCAGTGGACTCGGCCATGGTGTTCTAGAGTCAATGGACTGTGCCAAGATACACATCATTGTCTCCCAGTTTTTCTAACCTAAAAATGAGTGAGATTGTTATGGAAGGTCATCTATCGGTTGAAAATGTAACAAGCAAATATTTTATTCGAATTTAATAATATTAAAACTTAAAACTTAACAACCAGATTAATGTAATTTTATTCATATCAAATTCTATGTAAAATAACTTACGATGTTAATAAAAAGGGTTACTCTAGGCGACCAATAATATATAATGCTTTTTTAAGTTATTTATTTTTAATTATATTTAAGGGCAAACAAAGAAAAATATAGCTATTTATTTACCAATATTCAGAAAAACTTTTACATCTTGTTTATATAAAAATTCTTGCATTTTGAGTTAGCTTTCAAGATTTACTCATATATTTATCACGTTTTACCTTAGAGAAAGAGACAATGTCACTTATTTTTGTTTCCATGTTAACCTAAAAATAAAAAACATAAATGTCATATCACAAAACAACCGGATTTTTGGGTTACTGTGAAAGGTAACTGAAAATGTAAATATTATTTTGTAAATAAACAAAATGTAAAATTTTTTATGAATGTTAATAGATAAATTGTTGGTTTTTTCTGCATTTTGCCAATTATTTAATAAGTCAATAAATTTATTATGGGTTCTCGTTACCACTAAAATGGATGTCAACCTGCTAAACTCATATTAATTCTTGTGTGGCATCCATTGTCATTCAATATGATAGAATCATTCTTCTAACTCAATTTGGCATCAAAATTATGTCCACTATAGCATCTAATGTGACACAATTACTCGATTGACATGTATTTTAATAATGTAATGATAACTCGGTAACACCAAGTATACCGACATATTGACTACAATTAAACATTAAACTACTCAAAAAACAAATTGTGTGTTATTATTATTGGGCATTGTATGACATCAACCTTAATAAAAATAACTATTTTTTGTTTAGAGTAAATGTATTTAATTAAATTTTGCATTTTTACAGAAATAACCTCTAAGTCGGGAACACTGGATTCTAAATTAACAAAAATTATATAATATGTATTCTTCTCTCAGTTACATCAAACACTTTTCAAAAACTTATTCTATCTATGACTGAAATGAGCATTTTGAAATATCTAATATTACTCAATTTTCAATCATGTCAAATTAAGTCCTTGTATCTTATATATTTCTTCTATTATGTTTTTTTTTTAACATTTTGTTATATTTTATGAAAAAACAAAATAGTTTCTCAAAATTTTGGGTTGTATATCAGATTTCGTAGTTGTTCTTGAGATTTTGAAATATATTTTTTTTGTCTGGTATCTCAAATTCGAAATATCACTTTGAAATGGACTTCTTTGTCGAAAAAATTAACTTTAATATGACATAAAGTTAGTTTGAAATGATTTCGGAGAAAAATGCCAAATTTTTAAAACACAAAAAATGGTCATTTAAGTTAAATACTTCATTCATGGTAGTCATTTTTATCGATATCCCAAAAGTATTACTCACCCAATTAAACATGTATTAAACCCGATTTTAATATTTTCATCCTAAATTTGACATAAACACAACATTTCATGTGTTGTCCATTGTTATGACTTATGATAAACTTATTTCTTTTTTTGAACCGGCAAATTAACCTACTCCTAAATACCACCTATTTTACCTCAATTGGGATTTTTATAACATTTTAAAGAACTACCATCTTTAAAAAATATCTTGTCTAGATGAACTAATTGTCTTAATTATGGTTTAGACTTTAGACCCAAAATAGTTCAACTAATTGGCTTAAAACGCATCTCAATTACATCACTCAAGCATAAGTATCATTGTTTTTTATTAAATTCAACGAGAATCCATAAATTATTATCATAACAGGTAGAAAATAAATTCTTTTTCAAAAGAAAAACATTGATGCATCAAAAATATTTGTGCAAAACAAAAACAAATAAATAAATAAATAAAATAAAATAAATGATGATGTTATAGACACTCCATTCTACACCTACTCTAATATACTAGATATTGTTTTCCAAAAAAAAAAATTTCTCTTTCCTAACCTTATTACTTCATCATTATAATTTCAAATCATTACACTAATTTTACTATTTTATCATTACAGATTATTAAATTTTTTTCAAACTTTATTATTATTTTGTTATATTCAATTAAATTTTTACTTACTTTATTATTTTCTAAATTTTCTCTTAAATGTTTTTACAAGATAGATGATTATAAATACCAAAATTTAGAAAAAAAAACATTAAAAAGTAAATATGTATTGAAAAATGTTCTAAACAAAAAATATTTTTTTTAATGACAATCGATGCAAAGGATTCATAGGAAACATCACTACAATATTAAATAAAAAACATATCGTTTGTCATTTTATATGTTTAAAAAAATGGTTGTATTTTTAGAACCCCAAAGTTGTAATGTTAATAAATACATATATTAATAAAAATCTTATAAAAACAAATTTATGAGACATATTTGCAAAAAAAAAAAAAAATCTGAATATTTTGTTTCAAAAATAAAATATTAATATTTTATATTAAAATTATTATTAAATAAATTATTCATATTGCATTAATCATATAAAAATTTTCTATTCTTTTACATAAACAATAATTATATTTCTATTATATAAGATAAATCTTTATTCTTATTAAAAAAATGTATATCTACATATCGTTTTAATATAATAAAAAAATTATATTTTTATTGCAAATATAATATTTTATAACAAAATAAATTAGTAACGTATGAGTTTAATCATTATTGCTGAAAGAATGTGAAAAAAAAATATATGAATGTTTAAATATAAAAAAAGATATATAAATAAAACAAAAAAGATGCGTGTATTAAATAAATAAAATAGATAATATTTATTGGGAAGATGCCACAATTTTGACTCTGCAATTTTTTACCAAAGCCTAAAAAAAATAATAAAAATTAATCAATATAGATCAAAGTTTTTTTATAGGGTGGAGTGTAGAAATAAAAATCCTAAAATAAAATAAAAACGGTACACGTATAAACTCTTTGAAGAAATTGACCAATGACCATAAAAGGAGTTCTTTTGGTTAAGCCATTTGCAATTCATAAAATTATCTACGGAGTATTAAATTTTACCACTAAACAAATATATAATCAAATAATCAATGATATTTTACTGTTTGCAGCTTTGACCAAATTTGCCCACAAAAACGTCTACCAACACGAAAATCCATTTACAATCTACTTGTTTTATTGAATAAAAATTTATAACAATAGAAAAACATTAATGTCACTTTATTAATGATTCCATGACAAAATTTTCCATTATATATTGCAGTTGTGATTATTTTACTTTCATAGAAATGGCATGTCCAACTTTCAATTACTCAAAAGCTACTTTCGTAGAAATGACATGTCCAACTTTACTTTGTTGTTTTCTTCAATATGGCCAATGCTTTTCTTTTCACTTGTTATTTTTTATTTAATTTGATCTTAGAGTTTCCTTGAATATAAAACTTATAATCTAAGATGTAAATTAATAATACTAGTGGTCAAATATGTAATTTTAATATGATGTATACGATGACAGAGAATGAACATTCATTTTCATTGACAGATTTAAATAAAATTTTCATTAATAAACTTAAACAAAAATTACATTAATAACTGTAAGACAAAATTAGATTTTGTTTTTATATTTTTCTCGAGTTTTACTCTTTATCGCTAATCTCGCTTTGAGGTTCTCATATGTAACATCAACATTGATCGACATCCTTAAGATTTTCATATCACTTAGGAGTACTTGCGCATGTCCCAATTCCATTTCAAGCTCTAGATTTTTTTTTTTTATTTTTTTTTTTTGCATTTGAAGATGATCATCAAATTTTTCCATAACAAAGTTTAAATTATTTGTTAAGGATACGTTGTTATTCGAAGACGATGCAACTTTCAAGGAGTATTGCGGGCACAAGTCCATCATCGCCAATCAGCCTCCACCTTCTACATTAGAATACGGTAATGTTATTTTCTATTTTTTTTTTTTTAAATTGGATGCAAATATATCAGATGCTATGTATTAACCATATCATATGCTATGTATGATGTTACTTTATTATTTGCTATGTGTTAATCAGATCAGATGCTATGTGTGATTTGAAATCGGAAATTCAATAGTTGTTATTTGTGTTATATACATCAGATTACATGCATATGTATTGAAGTATCGCAAAAATAAATAAATAAATAAATAAATAATAAAAAAAATACATGTTATTTACTTAGTTACTATGTGTGATCTGAAATCAGAACTTTATTTGTTGTTATTTGTGCTCTAGAAATCATATTACATGCATAAATGTTGATGTTGAAGTATTGCTAAAATTACATGTTATTTGTTATGTATGATCTCAAATCAGAAATTTACATGCATATATGTTGATGTATTGTTGAAATTACATGTTATAGAAGTAATCACTTTAATTTTCAAACTAATATGTTGAAATCAAAATTATATGTTGAAGTGTTGTTGAAATCTTTTTTTTATTTTTGAAGTATATATATGTTAAAATTAGAATTTTTATGTTGAACTTTGTATGTTGGAATTATAAACTTGTATGATAAAATTTGTTTTCTTGAACTTGTACGTTGAAATTTTATATATTTTTTTTCATTTACTTTCTACTAGACATGTCCCAAAAGAATCCTATAATAGTTTGGAAGCAAGACAGTGTTGATAAAGCTTTTCTTGATGCATGTATACATGAAATTGCAAGTGATGATCGGGAATGTGGTAGTTTGAAAGCAAATGCATGGAAGGTAGTAGCAGATAAACTTAAAAACGAACACAATTTTGTAGTCGATCAAAGGCAAATGAAGAACTGATACGACTATTTAAAATCAAAGTACACGGTTTGGGTGAAACTTACGAACAAAACAGGAAATGTTTATAACTTGTAACAAACACTTTTGATATGACTGATGAAGAATGGAAAGCGGATATGATAATATTTTTAATAGTAAAAATACAAATTTGATTATTTTCCTTAACTAGTTTGATTAAT